TAATTTATCCCTAAATGAAGTACAATTCTTGCAATAAGTGTGTACATTGTACTACTCCCTTCGTTTCTTAATTTTTGCCCCATTACAAACATATGGGTCAAAATTTTAAAATTTTGACCATGAATTCTCGTTAACTTATAAGTGATAATATATTCATGTGGATCTTGTTAGAATTGTCTCATTGTATAGTTTATTAATATCAAATTTTTATAATTTTTACGCGTATAGAAATGGAGATATATACATTTGAAGACGCGTCTTGAAGACCGTGAAAAGTCAAATGGGGCAAAAAATAAGGGACAGAGGAAGTAGTTTTTACGGAGTAGTATATTACTTCTACCTTATTTTAACATAGCATGAAAAAATAAGTTAAGATAACTTCAAACAAAATAATTTAGATAATTAAGTGTACAAAAATTAAGCTATATTATTGTAACAATAAGTACAGTTAAATTGTATATAAATTAATGTAAGTTATGATAAATATAAATTTCTTTACTTGTTCTCTTTAGGTTTTCTCCTTGGAAGGGTTTTTCTAATTTCCTTTAGGGTTTCTCCATTGGGAGGGTTTTCCTAGCCTCAATTGCTAATATTTTTCAATTTTTTTGAAGGTTTTCCTTCTCTCTTCTCCCTTTTCTCTCCATTTCTACCATTTCTTTCCTCTAGGTCTCAGTTGTGAATCTTTGTAGGGGCTTTACTGGTGGTAAGCCCCAAAAACCTTTTAATTGCTTTAAAAAAATAGATCTCATCCTTGAGGTGATGATTTTTCTCAAGTTTATTTTCTTTTTATGTTTGTATGGAGAGAATCAAAGATCTAGGGTTTCATAATCTCTACAAGAATCCAAAAGATCACATGAGTATTTTCACTCAAACAACGACACATCAGTGGATTTCAAGCCAAATTAGTGCGAACTCACATATTGTATTGCTTCAGATGAAATTTTTTACTAAATCTATGATGTATTTAATTTTAAGGTGTGTACTCGTGTTGAAATTCTTGATTCTTAGGAATTATATGTAAGTGCTGTTTGGATATATTTTATTAATGAAATCCCTTTTCTTCTTGTAAAAAAAATAAAGAAAAGAAAAGTTCAAATTAGTGTTGTATTATATATAAAGAGATCATGTTTTCAGGCCCTGTTCACTTCACCTTAAAAAAAATAATACTAAGTAAAAATAATTTCAGTTTAGTAAAAATAAGTTCAGTTCAGTAAAAATAAGTTCAGTTCAGTAAAATTTGGTAACTATAAAGAAGAAATATAATAGAAAATCAGTAAAAATAATTTCAGTTCAACAAAAATAATTTCATTCAGTAAAAATAATTTAAGTTTAGCAAAAGTAATTTCAGTTCAGTAAAAATAATTTAAGTTCAGCAAACATAAGGTGAAGTGAACGGAGCCTTATTATTATTATTATTATTATTATTATTATTATTATTATTATTATTATTATTATTATTATTATTATTTTTTTTTTTTTTTTTTTTTTTTTTTTTTTACTTGAAGACAAAAGTGATGAATTTCTGACGAAAACACCAGATATTACCCTGTATTATAATTTTGTTTCTAAAAAACAATGTAGTTCAACTTCATTTTTTTGAGGTAAAGAGAAGGACTCAGACCTAACATCAATTCTCACACAATTTTTTTTGCTCTAGTTTCATGTACCATGTGTACTTAAAACTAGGGGTGTACCTTGTAAAAAAAAAATTAAATATAAAAATAAAAATTAAGGGTGTTCATTATTCGGATAAAAGCTGAAATCCAATCCAATCCAAACCGAATTATCAATTCGGATCAGATTGAATTTTTTTTTGAAAATTCGGATTTTCGGATCGGATCGAATTGACTTTATTCGGATTTAAAAAACTGAAATAACCAATATATGAAAGCGTTATTTTATAAATAAATATTGTTAATATTAATCATGTTAAACTAGGTTTATGATTATATTGATATTCATCATGTAAACCTATGTTTTCAATACTCGTATTAATCTTGTACAACTATACTTTCAAGAATTGAATTTTTATTATTGCATTTTTATTTTTATAATCGCATTAGGCCCAAAAAATTAGCAACGTATTTTAATTCGGATTTTCGAATTGAATCCAAATTAACGAATTATAATTCGGATTGGATCGGATTGGATTTGGTAAGGAATTCGGATCGGATTGGATTTGAAAATTAAAAACCGAAATTTATTTCGGATCAAATTGGATTTGGGCTAAATCCAAATCGAAAACCAAATGGACACCCCTACTTAAAACTTGGAAGTGTAGGGGTAGGGGTGGGGATAAGGGGATTCCTAGAGCCTCACCACTATAATCAAATTGAGGTTAGATTATTATTACCCTACATCCCTTAAAACTACCTTATTTAAATTTTTTTAGTCTCTAAAACATATCTTAAATCGTAAATATCCTCATTTTCTCAGGCTTAGCAAATATAAAAGTTGTTATTTGAACATATACATTAAAGTGAATTAAATAAGATTTTAGACGACTGTTAGTTCTCATAGGTTAATGCGAATTTATGGACAAAGTTTAAAAATTTTGTCCTCAAAATGCAATTGGGTAACCTTTGAGAGTGAGCTTCATTTATTCAAAGATTGCCTTGAACTTCAATTTCCCTAGGAGCTGCATGAATAACTCATTGATGATAATCTAGATAGATAGAGCAAATGGGAAAATTTACCAATTTAGATATGAAACAAAAAAATTGACCATCTCCTCTAATATTGATCTTACTTTTTACCCTCTCTAATATTTTTTGTAAATTATGGGTCAATTCAATATCGACCTGCAACCTGTATTGACTTAATAATATGTGATCATATTTAAACCCAATTTAATATTAACCTTAATTCTCCTGTTTATTAACTAATTGAGACAATATTTTAAGAGAGGAGAAATATCCAAAAAAAGATTGATGGGAGAGGCAAATTGCACCTCCTATAGTCAATTAATTGAATGAAAACACCAAGCATTGAAAACTATTGTCCCCTTTTAAATCACACACCCAAATTTAAGAAAAAAAAAAAATCTCTCTTATCCCCAACATGTAAAAGGAACACGTGGCAAGAGATGTATGGAGGACAGGCTGGACCCCATACTCTCAAAAATACAAAGAAAAAGGCTCACCATCAAAGACCTTCCTTTGCCAAAAAGAACTAGACCAATCGTTGTCATGCTGGTTTGCAGAACCTGTCGGCTACTCAATGTGTTCTATTAATAACAAAAGTAAAGAGACCCATCCGACCCTTCATTTTAATCCAACGGCTCTTGGTTCTCCTAATTAACCATTTTTTTTAAGGAACTAATTAACCATTATTATTATAGACAAAATTATACAACCTAAAATAAATTAGTGGGAAAGCGAGATATAATTTGAGCTCCCACTCCTCTAATTATAGCAAATCCAATTCTAGTGAACATATAGACAATCATGTAGCTGCTTGTAAAAGAACAAAATAACTATTATAACATTGACCAAGTAATCCCTGTAATATTGACTGAATAATTCCTATACTACCGACTGATAACTTCTATAACACTAATGAAGTAACCCCATAATGACTGGTCACACCATGTAACAGTCATTTGGTATAAAAGTTGGTGTTATTATTATTATTAAGAAGAAGAAGAAGAAGAAGAAAAAAAAGGTTGAGGGTAGAAAATTGTCAGGGTAACAATCAAACAAGAAAGACCAAAGCCCCACTAACACTACACTACTAAATGGGTCTGGTGTCACAGGCAAAGGATGGATCCCCTTTCATTTTGATGTTACATTGTGTGGGCCATTATTATGCTGTTTTACTACTATTTGTGAATTTCATCTTTTTCCTAATCTTTGACCCATATAGTAGTTGGTTAATCTTTCACCAATTTGTATGTTATATCATTAGTTGTACACTAGTACAGGTTCTGATATATTCGATCGAATGAGATTGTGAGTGTTGAGAATGCACGTATAAAGTTATTATAGGGGCTATCTACTGTGTAAAAATAAGTTTGCTAATAGTCTCAAATGAAGGTTACTGACAATTCATATATGGAGTTACTAATAGGATCGGAATAACTGTTGTTTTTGATGATTAATGAATAGCATATACCATTGTTTATGAGTCGATGAGGTTGCTCATAAAGTTTTGGGTTATTGCAATATGGTTAATGGTTTGATAATTAAGGATACTAAATTAAGTTGTATAATTAGCGTAGAAGGTATGGAGACATTACCAAAATCAAGCGATTGTGTCAAGAGTTGGCTAACATGTTTGAATTGGAGCTAACTTTAGATTTTTAGGAGGAATGATAGAAATAAAAAGTAACTCATATCAATATTTGAGTCGATTCAATTTCATATTATGTCAATGTTGATTAGAGTAAATTATGGGCATTTTAATTTCAAATATAGTTTGAGTATAAAAGTAAGTTAATTTTTGTCACGTACAACTAAGAGCACCCTCCCACCGATGTCTTTATTTAGAAAATTACAAAGAAACAGGCTATAGGCCCAATAACCAATGTGTTAAGCCCAGGACAAATTCACCACTTTGGGCCTTAATTAGGTGAATGGGCCTAACAAACCCAGTAAAATGTGACCTCACAAAATAGATGGTGAAAAACATATGTCCATAATTCAGATATCCAATCCCAATCATCGGTTTCATAAACTTCTTCGGTTCTATTCTTTACTTAACCTGTTTCATTTATCATGCTTGCTAATGCATTAATTGAATCACCAATATGAGCAATATCTTTAATTCCTAATAAGTAAAAATAATAATAAATATATTTTATGATAAGTTTTATTGAAACTATAATTCAAAGAAAATTCCACATGACTATTATTATGTTTTTCTTGTCTATGAATCACAAAAGACAATCAATGGTAATTGTGAATAGGATAAAAGTCAAATAGGTCAAATAATAATAAAAAAAAAGAACGGAGAAATAAATAAATTGAAGTAGTATAATTAAATAATTCAAGACTCGCTATATAGGTTGCTTGAAGCGAAAGGAAGGAAATTAGATTTTTACAATATTGGCCATACTATTCTTCCCTTCATTTCAATATTTAATTAGTATCAACCAATCAATTTACTGCATGATTAACTTACAAATATGATACCAATTTAAATTGTTGGTTATTAACTTTATCCGACCATTGTATTTCAATGTCTCACTCCAATTTAAAAAGTTTATTTAAACTTTTCAACTCATATATACAGAGTTGTAATCAAAGAGTGTAGGGGGATCAACTGATAGTAGGAGCATCTCCTAAACCTCATTTAAGGGAGCAGATTCTCATATCCCTTCCAAAGACATAATTAAACTTCACTTTCTATCTTGAAATAGGGACCTGTAGGAGACCATTGGGAACCTGGCCAAAAACACGTAAATAACATCACAATTAGCCATGACAAACTAAATTTCTTAATCTTCTTCATAATACATTAAGTTCAATGGTAGTAGCTACCATAGTATTAGTGACCTCTTTGTTTCGAAGAAGCTTGAAATTGATGCAACGGGGTCGAATTCAAGTCAAGATAATGCAAGAGTACAACCATAAAAACCGAAGAAACAAACATAGGGATAGGTCCAAAGAACCAAAGCAACAAATTGAGGGCAAAATAAAGAGCTCTAAGTCCAAGTTGCCAAAATTCACCACCCCTAATAATAGCAACTTCAACATAGTAAATAGGTGTGTTACTATTTGGCATGCTTATGAGATAAGTTGCATTGATGAAGTATCTTGTTGCTTGCACAAAACAAAAAAAGGCCAAGAAGAAGCAAATGAGAAGGCTTATGTACTTCAACATCATGGTTGTTGGAGTTCTATCACCATATATAATTTCGCTTTGGAATATCTTGTTGTTGCTTGCAATCCATGCACCAATCAAGGAGCTCAAGCCTAAGGAGATTGAGGCTAGATATGTTGCTGCTGATGTGTTGGAGGATATTGCTGATAAGGGTAACTCCATGCTACTCAAATCATCAAGCTGCACAGGATATACATGCTAATTATTGCAAGAAAGAGCCGAACTCATCAAGTTTAAGCTCGAAAAGTCCAGAGTTCAAGATCAATAATTTTTTCAAGCTCAATATTTTGTTCAATCTCAATTCATTTGAAATTAATTTGTTCAAACTTGGCTTATATCTCAATTGTTTGTAACAATTGAATCTCTTATATGAATGTATGTATATCAAAATGTTTTTGTAAAAATAAAATAAAATAAAATAAATGACTAAATGAAACGTTGAACAAATGTCATTCATCATGAGCACACATAATAATTTGTTCAAGAACTTCTAGTTTTATATACGGACTAGCATTCATATCTTTGTTTTGAAACTCATTTACCTGACAATTTTAAGTGCAAGATTTTTTCCAAGGATTAGACTCACTATTAAATCAAACGAACAAAAACGAGTTGTGGTTCAACCCAAATTTGAGTTATACATTGAGAGTTCAAATTCACATTTGTACCCATACTAAGAGTTGTAAAGACAGGGAACGTGATATACAGATCACCCATGCACTCCGCTCCATCTTAGTACAATAATATATAAAAATACTATTTTTTAGTGTAAAGAGAGCCATAAAGGACAAATAATGTAGACAAAATTTGATTTCAAATCTAAGATCAGATATCATTTCCAATACTTTAACCAACTAAGCTAGTTTGACATCTACATATATATTAACGCAAAATTAAATGTCGCACTAATTCTGCAATATACATATACGACTAATTATGGACCATCATATCACTTTATATATGATCTTCATCATGCAACAAAAATAATGCAACAAAAATAATGAAAGTTTAGAGAGACTTAATTACATACCTCCATAACTCTTTCAACCCAAGCTCTCTTGTTATGATTCTCAAAGCCCACAACAGTAGTTTCTGGATGATTCAAGTATCTATAGAGCAAGGCGATATGATAAACAAACATCAATGTAATTCCACAGGGTACAAGAACTAAATCAAGGTACTCCTTTTGGAAACCCATTATTATGCTTTTCTCTATTTTTTGAATACAAATTAATGTAATGCAATGCAAGAATTTACAACTTAAAATGGAATTGCTTTGCCTTTGAGTTTTGATAACACGAGTTTGATAAGCTATAACTAGCTACTCTAGCAAGTTTCCTAATTTGAAGCAATCCAATTGACTTATATGATGACCTCACTTTGTCATAATGACAAGCAATGATTGTTGTTTACTCATCATTCATCAATTTGTCCAATACCTTGAACGAGGCTAGGGCGTTGCAGGAGATCGAGAGCAACTCAACTTGATTATTCTTTGTGTCCCAAAATATTAATATAGTCAAACTTTGCACACATACTTATGCAGTTATGCACTCATTTGACTTATTTTTATATAATTAAATTATGGCAAATGCTATATGTAGCCTTGACAACATATTCTCTTACATTTCCTAGAACACTAATAATTTAAGTGATAAATAAATCCACCAAATAATGGAACGATTTCCCTAAAAGTTGCTTACACGTAAATTAATTCTCCATTTACATTGGTTTAAAAACTTATTTCTACCATATTGTCCACATAGAATTGGTTAAGCTTTGTTAATTTTTTTTTAATATTATTTTTTATTTATTTATTTCTGGTTCAGCATAGAGCTGCTATCACTAGAACTGCTAATGGTAATTCTTATACTCTTGTATTCTAATATTCAAGTGTGGCAGTTGCATTGCATTATGAAGCTAGCTTGCCTTTTTCTAACTTTTTTTGGTTTATTCCTTTTGTTGTCAATAGCTATAATATATATGTGGGGTTTCAACTAGCAAGTCTTTTTTTTTTTTTTTTTTTTTTGGATATGTTTTAATTTAATCAGGTTTGCATTTTCAATTTGATAAAAAAAATTCAGCTACTGACAATTTGATAAAAAGTTAATATTTGAAAAATTTATAATAAGGGGAATCTAATAAGATCCCTCATGCTAAGTTATTTCTATTGTATAAATCATAACATGTGGTCAAAATAAATGGTCAAAGTTATTTTATTTTGACCACATGAATAGTAAGTAAGTCGAACTTTTAGGAACGGAGGTAATATTTCTTTTGTTTATATAATTTTATTCATCTTCTTGGATGTGATATGTGATGCACGGAAACTCTGTTTGGGTCAACGTTTCCGTTTGTGATATCGTTTTCATTTTCGAAACTCTGAAAACTTCTTCTCGAAACTTTAATTAAAATTAACCCTTAGAGATATGGATTTTAAATTGAAAAAACGTTTTTCCACATAAGGTACATGGTACATAACTATAATTAAGTTACATGATAAAAAATAAACAAAATAATTTTTTTGAAGCATTTCAAAAAAAAAAAATTGAATATTTAAGATGCACGTCTTATATTTATAAGGCACATGTCCGTAAGATAAAAGGTACATGTTAAGAAATTTTAAGGTACATAACATAAAAATAAGTAAAAGATATATATAAAAAAAAAAAAATTGAAATTTTGCAAATTTTGTTTTTTTTTTGTTTTTTTTTTTATTTTTATTTTTGTAGGAATTGCAAACTTTAAAGTACATATTATATATCTTTAAGATACATGACCAAAAAATAAAAGGAATACATGTTATGAAGGTATAAAGTACATAATAATAAAAATAAAAAAATAATGAAAAAAAAGTTTTGATGTGTTTTTAGTTTTATTGCATATACCTTATGTGTGGTTCTCACATGATTTAATCAATTGCATGTATTTTTTAGTTTTATTGCATATACCTTACGCATGATTTAATCAGTTGCAAACTAATTGAAGTTAGGATTCTTGCGAGGCAAGATGCTACATAAACTCTTCCAGGATTCTTCAATTCTTCCGGACATCATAAGCTCACCATAATGCCATAATGTGAGCTTGGAGTAAATTTAGATTGTAATTTGATCAAGAATGAATCTATAATTTGGTTGATAATTGCTAATTGCTATGGAATGGAATGCTTAGGGCTCGTATCCTCTGTTTTCACAATGGTTTTTATCCTATTTATAATAGAAGAGCATTTTGAAGCTTTACAACTCCTTTGTTGATCCCTTAAAAATCGGGGTTAGTTGCCAGCTTCAGCTCCGAGATTCATGCCACACTCTCCTTGTGCTTATCTGTTACCTTTTTGACTTGTTCAAATTAACAACTAGTTGGAGTTTATAGTTCCTATTCTTATGGCACGTATCTTGACTTATTCAAACTTGGATTATCTTAGAATATTCCTTGGAAAGATCTTCATTTAATTTTCCTTGACTTTCGGTAACTAGGTCGTTGACTTCGTAGCAACCTGTAACCTGCAATCTAGCAAACTGCAGACATTTGAACCTGTAGTGATAATTTAGGCAACGAGTTTGATAAGCTATAACTAGCTACTCTAGCAAGTTTCCTACTCCTTATTTTGAAGTAATTGATTTATTTGGTGACCTCACTTTGTCATATTGACAAGCAATGATTGTTGTATACCCATCATTCATCAATTTGTCCAATACCTTGAAAGAGGTTGGGGCGATGGCAGGAGATTGAGAGTAATTTAACTTGATTAAAATATTGTTTCGGGTGTGAAACAATCGCCTTGTTCAATTGATTTCGATCTTGAATTGTGAAGAAGGTGTCAATACAATTTTGTCTTATTTGATTGGATTGTTTGCACACAAATACACGTAATGAGTTAGCCTTGGGAGTGTCTAAGGGAAACCTCTCTAAATCTCTTTAAATAGATCAATCTAAAAAAAAAAAAAATCAATATTCATTATTGTCCAATCCAGTCCATTTCCCTATTTCTAAAGAAAATCCGATTTGAATGAGTAATTTGATTTGGAATATATCAAATTTTGGTTTGATGAGTGCATATTTCTATTTTCCCATGAAAATGTTGTATTTTTATTTTGTAAGAGAGTTTTTAAATCGTTCTTTTATCTTTCTATTAGGCTCGTCGTATGTTTGTTATATTGGCCTTGTTTGGTAAATGAAATTTCCTTGGCTTTTGGCCTTTCATCTTGGTTAAACAACCAAAAAAAGTGTTTGGTAAATGACTTTTTTGTTGGATAAAAAGCCGGCTTTTCCGCCTAAAATAAAAAGCTAGTCTTACTAACTTTTTGGTATTGGCTTTTGGCTTTTTCCCATTACAGTTACTTTTCTATCCTTACTTTTAATTAGTAATTAATAATTAATAGTTAATAATTAATAGTTAATAATTAATAACTAATAATTAATAACTAATAATTAATAACTAATAACTAATAATTAATATTTAATAATTAATAATTAATAACTAATAATTATAATTAATAATTGATAACTAATAATTAATAATTGATAATTAATAATTAGTATTTTTTTTTTGAAAGGTAGTAATTAGTAATTAGTACTTAGTAATTAGTAATTAATAATTAATAATGAAAAATTAATAATTAATAACTAATAATTAATATTTAATAATTAATAATTGATAATTAATAATTAGTATTTTTTTAAAGGAAGTAATTAGTACTTAGTAATTAGTAACTAATAATTAATAATTAACACTTAATAATTAATAATTAGTAATTTATTATTAATAATTAATAACTAATTATATTTATTAATAATGATACTTAACTATTAGTAACTATTAATAATAATTAATAAATAATCTCTTTCCAAAAAAAAAAATAATAAATAATTATTAATTATTAATAACTAATAGTTAATAATTTACAACTATTAATTATTAATTAGTAAAAAATAATATATTAATAATTAATAATTTAATTAAAAATATTATTTATTTTTAATGTTATTATTATTATTATTATTTGCAATGCATATTACAAAGATAATAAAATATACCAATGCCCTTAAAAGTCAGTTTTATATCAAACTACCAACAACCAACTTTATCAAACATATTTATTAACAGCCAACAGTCAAACATACAACAGAAAACGTCAATACAAACAGCTGGTCAGACCAGCCAAGAAAAATAACCAGCAACTAACAGTCAATTGCCAAACAAGGTCATTGTCTTATTTGGGTGTGAATCAAGTGATAGAGGAAGACATTGTTTTTAAAATAAGACTTTTAACTCTTTGAGTTTTATTAGTCCAAAAGTTAACCTTGGGTTAAAACTCAAAAGTCAAAACCCCAAAGTAAAATGTCAAACCTCCCTACTTCCAACTCCCTCTCTATTCTTTGACCATCTTCGCAACCTCCCTTCTCATAGCGCGAAAAAATGTAAAATGTAGTTCATTACTTTTCTCCCAAGAAAACAGAGCAATATTTCAAAAAATAGTGATGACAAAACACACAATTCTCATTTCATGTCATCCCTATTATGCTCTCTTCTCTCTCAAGCAAAACATCGAACACCTGGTAGACTTCAACTTACCTTTCAGAAATTACCCAGAAATTCGTATGTCCAGATTTAGGAATAGCAAAGCAATGGTTTTTCCTGTAATTAAGATTGGGACACTCGCATTGAGAACTCTTAGTAAACCTATTGCAAGTCGTCTCAAACAACAAGCTGGGTTGCACCCTAAATTTCGTGAATTGATCATTAGTCTTGCTCAGGTTACTCTTTCTTCTAATTCTTTCATGTATTCTTTCTAAATTGTTTGTTTGAATTCTGGGTTGTTATTGAATTTTGGTTTTTGGCAGTGATTTGTTAGTGGGTATTTTCATTTTTGACATTTAGCATTTTATGATGAGTTATTTACTTATTTAGGGTAAGCTGAATTGGTTGATTTTGCTGTTTTTGAGTAATTTTGATGCTGATCAATGAAAAATAGGTACAGTATAAAAATTGAATGGAAATCATGGAGCTTTGTCTTAAGTGTGGCCAATGTGAATGTGTGATCAGTGTCATTGTTTGGTGTGATTTACCCCCCCCCCCCCATTTTACTCTCTATTAGGTCATATTTAAATTTTGTTACGTCCCAAAGTAATAGGCCATTTTTCATACCTAATAATTTTCTCATATTTACTCTACTATATTTAGGATTTGATGCATAGTGTCATAATCAAATTGTCGATAATTTATTAAGGTTAACTATGATATTTCAAGCCAATTTCTTTATAAATGACCTCGAATTAAATGTGGCCTATTAAAATGGGATGGAAGAGTACATTTAGTGGGTCAGTGTTGTTGATCCTGCCATTCATATTGGTTAAGGTGTCAATGTGATTGACTATATATTGTAAGAAGTTGTTGGTCCATAGGAGTTCACATGAGTCATATTTTGAATTGTATATTGTGACTTTGTGAGTTGTGACATGGGCTCTTAGTGTTGGATGACCCTGTGGGGAAGTAGAAGACAAGAAGGCATTGGTTTGAACGTGAGTTGAAGTGGCATAGCATGCAATGGAATAACACCCGTTTTCTTTGGTAAAAAAATAAGCTTAAAGAAATTTTTGGATCTTAAATAGAAGTGTGATGTAATTTGGAAACTATAGCTAGCTGCTTAGGGAGGTTCTGTAACGAATGTTATAGCTGCTTACATATCGAAATTTCTGTGAAAAGCATAGGGGGAAAGTCGTATCCCACATGAGCAAGATGACTTTTTTTTTCTTCTGGAATGTCTCTTAGTTTTCATTCTTAGTTAAATTCCATTATATAGAGGTATGAATTATTTCTCTCAATTCTCTCTCTACACTAGTCTATAGAGAACGTGCAAATTGAACATGGATTCTGAACACAAATAGCGCGGAACTGAAGTTTGTTTATAACAGAGGAGTAGTTTCAAGGTTTTTATGCAGAGTTACAGCTAGGTGGATTGGTGGAAGGCTCTAGATGAGAGGTTATATATTGTGTCAAGTAGACGCTTTGTCAACTCCAAAATGAAGGGGAGTTGATAAGAAACTGAAGATCAGGATCTATTTATGTTACTGCCAAGATATAAATGTGTGTATAGACATTGGATTCAGGCAGAATGGATGGAAGGGAGAAGTCTGTTGCAATGAATTGATACCATTACATACATTGAAAGACTAGTTTGGAATGATGGAATGAATTGGGGACCGAGGTGCTATCTGGTATACTATATTGGCCATAAAGCATAAAATTGTTCACATAATGGAGTTATTAAAAATGAAGATGATGGTCAAAATCAGATAAAGAAGGAACGTGGAGGTTGTTGAACCACATTAGATAAAAAGGCAGTCCATGGAGCAATTGAAGACAAGTCTTTAAAAAAAGATCATCTTGATGTGCAATGTGCAGAGCACCTTAGCTGATAGGAATTTGTGAGGATTGAAAGACGTTGCTTTCTAGAAAACTTAAGAAGGGCCAAAAATAATTGGACAACTGTGGCAAGAGTCTTAAGCTTTGCAATCCCTGCTTCCCTGGCCTATGTAGTCATGTGATGGGGAATCATCTGTGTAAAGTGTAAAAATTTCTTACCTTAAGGTGTGAGGTTTGGTTTAATATTATAATATGCTTCAATGAAGCTCTATGTTAACAGCTGCAAAGAAAGTCAAAATAATAATTAAGATTCACATTGATGGTATCAAAAATAATTATCACTTTATCCTGGAAAGAATGCAATCAGCAACATTGGATACTTGATATGGAGTATGAATCTAATTGAGTTCACTGAGCCTACATGGAGGTATTTTAGTATTATCTAATAAGGTAAGACTTATAGGATATTGCTAACTGGCAAGCTAATTGGTAGCAAAGGGTGCAACTGCAACCTCTTTGAATGATTTAGGAGGGGCTGTGGCTTGAAGAATAAGAACAAAATGGTTTACCTTCATTCTCATGGAGCTCTTTGGCTGACAGATTTTGAATTCAGGTTTGTTAATTAGTGAATGTACATATTCTAGATGTACCAGTAGCCCAGGTAGTAGTAAAGCAGCACACATTACTTATTATGTTTGGATTGTAATACAGAAGCGTTTTCTGTTCCTCCAATACATAGAGCTGGTCAAAGGAGTATGGATTATTGGGACTTGTGGCCTAGAAGTGTTAGTTGTCCAATAAATACCCTAGAAGACATCATTATTATATGGGTTATCATGTCAGTTGTGTCGATAACATATGCTACAAAGATTTTTGCCCCATCTGTCAGCTATTCTATGTTTCTGCCCTCCTAATTAGTTAATTTTGTTTACAAGAACCAGTATTGCAGTTATCTATTTGAAACATTTGAAGCAAGCTACAATTTTACAAAATTCAGTTGTGACTCCTTGTGAGGTATCAGGAAGTAAATTTCAGAAAGAGAAAAGAAGAGGGAGAGTAGTCAAACAGAATTTCGAACATTATCTGTATCTCTTTACAGTTTAGAAATGCTACTTACTGGATAACCTTTGGTATGAGCTGGTGGTTGTGCTGACCAAACTGCAAGGATCCACTATATAGGAGAGGGAAGGGGAGCCAAGTGAGGGAGATGCAAATCAATTATGTGACATTAAAGTCAACTTGGTGGAGAGTTGCCAAGTTTGGCATATTACGTAGAGGTTTCCTCACGGATTGGTTATTGTTCTGAAGTGACCATTCTTAAACCTAGACAAAGAAATATAAACATATAGAAATTAAGCTCTAGATATTAACATTCTAAGTAAATATACTCCTGCATCTATGTTTTTCATATCAAAACACGTAAGGCAAATTTAATGGCATCGGAGGATGGTTTCTTTGCTGAATTCCAGCATTTTCTTTCCTGTAAAGCATGTAACATTTTTGCTGTGGTTGGTGAAACTAGGCAAATCATCGGCTCACAACTACACTGCAAAGGCGTATATATGGCCATGCAACAGATGTTGAAATTCGCCCGCTAAATCAGGAGAGAGCTGTTCAGGCTGCCTCAGATCTTCTAGGAGAAATGTTCATATTTCTGGTAAGACTTCACCTTCTGATGTTATTGTTTATCACTGGTTTAATCCTCCTTCCGCGACCCCTTTTAATTTTTTTTTTTTTTTTTGAGCCATGCATCAAATCGATGGATATGATAAGCTCGCCGGATACAAACCAGCAGTAGCTTGAACTTTGCTTCATTTTGTTTTGATCATCCAAGTTTCGTGCTCTGGTTAACCTAGTAAGACCTTTGCATGGATCTGGATGGAAACGAAGCATGATGTCCAAAAGCATATAAGCTTGCTAAGTATATTAAAAATAGTAATTAATTGCTCATGTTATATATAAGCGACTCCACCAAGAAAGTAGACAACATATACTTATTGTTTTTCTAGATTAAAAAAACAAAGGAAAAAATTTCATTCCCATTATATTCAACATCTTATTTTTCCCCTTAAATGTGCACTTTCATGCGGTGGAATCATGCTGATAAAAACAGCTATTCAATGACCTTCATCTATTATATAGTCCCTTGTACGGTACATGTGTGCACTCATTCATTTCAGCCCGCAGACGTATTCTTGGAATCACTTTTAGTCTTATGGACATCATGACTTCAAGAATGTAACTAAACAATTAGTGATTATTTCATCTTATTGAAGTTACTTTGCTAGTATTGTACGGAGTTGTTCCATGTTGTCTGCTCGTTATTGCAAGTTATCATTGGTTCATAACAAGTCTTAAAGACACTGTGCACTTATAGTCCTATGTTGCTTTCAAACTTAAGATTCTTTTTTATGAGCCAATGCTTCAGTTTTCTTGAATTGAAACAAAACGCGCAACTAAAATTAACCAGCAGACCTCTTTTGACCCATATATGTGTAACTAACATTTTAGATTTACACAAAGGTTGCAGGAGCAGCTGTGATATTTGAAGTGCAAAGAAGCGCAAAATCAGAAGCTAAAAAGGAGGAGAAACGGCTGCAAGAATTGGAGGTAATGTAAAGAATCACTGTCAATAAATCCCTTTCTGGATGTATTTCCTGCAGACTGTGCATCTCTTGATGTCTATTGGCCGTGAGTCTTTCAATGACAAATTTGGAATGATTTTTGTGTTGAGATTTCTCTATATCCTTAGTTAAAGGATTTTCATTTGAGTAATACTTCTCAATGTTGAATTCATCAACATTGAAGTATGGTTCATAATGCAAAAATAACAAATGCAAAAGTTCATTTGACTAATACTACTGGAGCCTTATGCTAAAGTTCCAGTTGATTCTTAACTGTCCTGTTTCCTCACAGCACAATTACCCCTTATTCAGCAGGTATTTTATTAAATAAAATATAATGAGAAGACTGTAAAGGAATTTAGGGCCAAGGATAGGACTATATTGACAAATCGGTATAAACAATCAATTCAATCAATCAAATTATAACTGTCCTCTTTCCTCACAGCACAATAACCACTAAGAATTGTAATGCATCAATTTTCTTAGGCCAAATGGGACGACTATTTCCGTCTTGAAGGGATTTGTGTGATGTAAACTTAGGAGTTCAAACGGACATTATATCTAACAGTAGTAATGTGCTCTGTAAAATTGGTCATTATTAAAGAGGGGGATGGGATAAGGTGCTTGTGGCCTTTTGCCGGTCTGTGCAAAAATGCAGTCTAGGACCCCAGGCACTGTCCATCGAGGGGTGCTCGTGGTTGTGACAGGCCATGCTGGCACTACACACTGCCAACCTTAATATTCATCATCAGGTTTTTGTTCCTCAGGGGTGGACCTTGTGGTGTATTCTCTTTATTTTGTTGAGACTTCTGGTGTAAAAAAATTATTGTAAAGTAATACTACTGGAGCTATTAAAGAAATTATTTATAAATGTCGATTGGAGTCCTGGATAAAATCCGTTGTCTGCATTGGCTTAACTAACTATAGTTTATGTATTTCATAAGTTCATATGATTGATTGTAAATTCAATTTGGAATATATGACTTTTCTGAATGAGGTCAATGGGTCATTTCTTCTTCAACTTTTGGATTATGTTAGACTAATTTAAAATCTCATTAGGTCTTTGATTAAGGGTCACTTAGAAACACCTTTTTATTAACATCTGGTTCTCCTTTATATCGCCTGTGGCAGGAGACTTTTTAAAGGCATTGGGGTAAAATATCTAAAATGTTTATATGATGTTGGTATCATTTTGGTGCTTATCCCCTTTTGGCCTCTGGTGTATTCATGAGTACCTCACTCCACTCAAATATTCTTCATTTTGGTGAGCTTCAGAGGATGTTTAAAGACTCTCTAGCTAAGGCTGAGTTTGTCCTTGAGAGTGAATATTTAGCCTGCATACCATGGATGATGCTACCGAAAACTTAAATTTATAAAACTATTCGATCTACTTTTTTTTTTAATTGTACCGATTAGTACATTTGTGAATGGCTTACATGTGTTTTTTAATCTATCTGGGTGAACAGATGATTCAAATTGGGATCAGATGGAGTTTTACTCGGTTTTGGTTATTTTTGGTTGATAAGATATTCAGTTTGAATTCTTTTCAGCACTAGTCAATCAAGTCTTGGGCTGGTTTATATTAGATCAATTTCCTTAAGAGTCAAGTTCAGATAACTTTATTTAGGTAGAGTTTGTATCCAATTCTGGTTATTGGATTGGATAAGCAGGGACAAACCAGTTCTTCCATTCCTACTTTTTACATAATGTTTTTGTTGTTGATGATCCCGCCTCCCCTTTTGGCATGATATTGCCTCACTTGGTTCTTCCTTCGGAGGTTTTATTTAGTTGTACTGGTTGCAACCCTATCAAGGTCCTTTATTTTGTCAATACTGTATAATCCTAGTAAGGCCCTTGTAATAACAGCTTTGAGTATTTTGTTAGACTATGCAAAATTGTAACGGTATTGATGAGATTTGGCAGGAATATCTTATCTCTTTTAGTTCCTTTTTCATGAGGTGCCTGATCTGTGTCGATTGTTGCATAACATGAATTGACCATAGGATAGATGTTCTTTGTCAAATTTTGTCTTTTTATTTGCTTTCTTTTTCAGAAAGATTAAATATAGTGGCCTATCTTTCAAAAGCTATATTCCTCTGAAGGTTCCTTTTGTTTGCTCTTCTGATGCGTCTGATAGTTGATTGTGAAGATTGGTGACTTCTTCTACGTTGATGGCCCCTTTATTTGGTGATGAGACAAAATTTATGACTAGGACTTAGGAGTCCACATATCATTGTGGATCTTAATATACCCTCTAGCTAAAGATTTGTGATAAATCTGCATGATTGAATGGTTAAAGGCATTAAGGAAACTTCCTTAACCATTGACACATGACGATAGACCTGAAGCCGAGTATGTATTAGCTTAAAAATCAGTTTTATTGTCAATGGAGCAAAAAGATGAGGAAAATATTTGGATACATAAGCTTGTTTGTTTTTTTTTTTTTTTTTTTTTTTTTTTTTGTTTTTTTTTTTTGTTTTTTTTGTTTTTTTTTTTTTTGGGTGCAAATGTGCTACCATGGAACTGCTAAGATTAAAGTTCTGTGATGGCTGCTTTACAGCTTTGTTACTTCTAATCAAGATGAAGTTTCTTTGTTATTTTTTGTACAGAAATGCTGGCAAAAATCTGCACATATTTTTTTTAATTAGATTGCATCTTCCTTTCCTGAGATCAAATTTTATGATTTGGGCGTTGCTTAAGCATTTTGAGATTATTTATTTTTCAGAAGCCCTTGTAAATTTCCTTGTCTCTTCTCTCATTGCTTCCACTATGTTGCACTCATTGTTCAAGCTTCTCAGGATATTTCTTGGTTAATTTTACAGGCATTGAGACAAAAAAACGAAGCTCTATATAAGGAAGTGGAGCAACTTAAGCACAAACTCGTAGAAATCGAGAAGCTGGCAAAGGGACAAGGTATAGCTGGTATTTTCAACTTCAGATTTTTTGGACAGTCAGGAACTGAAAAGTCAGCACAAGGTGCTTGAACTGACTGATAATTCATCTCTTGACTAAATTCACTAGCAACCTTAATTTTTTGATTTTTAGCTTTGTTTAGTTTTTACTTTTGGGTGATATGTGCCCATATTTTTATGTATATGATTTTTAGGAACTCATTATTACTGACCATATTCACTGTCGAAGTGATTGCCAATCTCTCACTGTTAGTTTGAGTCCTTCCAACCCTGTAAATTACGAATAAAACTGTAACAACTTAACAGATTGATAGCCTTATTTTTGTCTAAAATAAAATTGCTTGCACTTGTAGTGCAATTTTTCATCTTAGTTCTCTCATCTGATCTGTTTCAAACCAGTTTCATACATGCAGCACGACGTATCTGTGTACATAAGATTTTTCCATATTTCATGTGTTTAGTTAAATTAAAAAAAAAAAAAAGAAAAAAAAAAGCATCATATGGTATATTATGCCTAAATACATGAATGATGGGCATACAACTTTGAATTCTAATTACGAGGCGGTGTGTCGTAGAAGAACAGAGAATAATATGATTCTGTTTAGTGGGGGGAGAGGGGGGGGGGGGACTCTTTATTCGTTTCTTATACTGGTTTGCTTGGCCTTAATTATATGATACAAAGGGATGGTTTAGGTTCTTTCTTTTCTTTGGTACAGTTGAATCTGCTGATAAAATGTTTGAAGAAATAGGCTGTTTACAAGTTGATTAGAACCACTTATTAATTAATGATGATAAGCATCAAATTCTTTATTTCGTTGGACCAAAAGTAGGTGATAATTAAGGACATGTATCATTTATCATATTTTTGCAAATGGATCAGGAATTGATTCTTAAGTTTTAAATGATTCCTTTACTTTCCTATAAGTCAATGTTGACACAACTGATAATATAATTATAATCTCGTCTATTACTCGAAAAATGTTTTATTTATTTATGTTTTAGATGGGTAGAAAAAAGAATTTCTAAATAAGGATTTTTATATAAATCGAAGGGACAATCTATAGATATTGTTTAATTGCAAAAGTATGGAAGTAATAATCCAATAACTACCTAGCAAATTGGTCAAGCAATCAAACGAGTGTTTGTTAACTTGTACGAAGTATACAAAAAGATGAGTTAACTACCAATTTACCTTCTCACTTCTGTTTTTGTCAAGATGTATCTTGTATGTGTTGTTATCATTCTCATTTAATTTAGGCACTTTACAAGAAAACAAGCCAAGTAATTTTGAGCTTGGTAATTCTCCTAACTCCAAGTAGAAAGTTAAATGAGTGATTTCTTACTTTGTGTTGTTCAAATACTAGTGTGCAAGAACATAGCCTAATATGATTACTTTTATATTTTGAACAAATGCAAATATGTTTACTATTTTAAAGGATGATTATTAGACAACAATAACTAACTACTCACTCCTTATGTGACATTCACAAAAGTATGTGTTCATTCAACACTCTGGAAAGAGACATTAAGAGTGTGTTTTATTAACCTGATTTCTACTTATCTGATCTTCTCTGAAATTATTAGACCTTATTAAAACTTATTTTATTTGTAGTTTGAACTTGAGCAAACCTTATCAGAACTTATTTTTCTTGAACTGGACTTATCTGAACCTTTTTTTTTTTTTTTTTTTTTTGAGAACAAAGCAAGAGTGTCTTGTATTGATAATTTGTCCATCAATACATAAGGAGAGACCTCACAAGGACTATGGTTCTCCCAAATTTGTTCACAACCAAATGGCACTAGACGAGCCAAATTATGAGCAACGAAGTTTTCATCACGTTTTACATGAAGCCAAGAAATTGAATTAAAGAAAGTACTAGAGTAGAGTATATCATCAAGGATTGCATCAAGGTTAGAGAAGTAAGTTGAGGCTTTTCATAGCCTGTTGATCAAAACCTGGGAATCGAATTCAATAACAATATCATCCAACCCATAATGACGAGCCAGACGAACAGCCATAGCTGCTGCCTTACTTTCGGCTATGATAGGGGGCCAATAGGCTTGGATGCGCCTGGTTGCAGCAAAAAGCACCTCACCTCTGGAATCACGCGCCACCACTCCAAGGCCCACTCAGCCTTCATCACAAAGAGATGCATCACAATTTAGCTTGAAGGTCCCTGCAGGTGGAGCCAACCATTTTTTCGGGGTGCCTCTAGTTTTACCCTTCACAACCCCATAAATCTTCTCGGAGTAGCTGATACAGTCAACAGCTAGTCTCTAAGACTCGATCAATGATGACAGGGTGTGGAGTTTCAGTGCCTTTGAATATCATATCGTTCCTTCTCCCCCCAGATATTCCACATCAAGATGGCCCCTTTGCATTTCTTTCTCTGATCTAAATTGTGCCGAGAATCAAATAGCTCCAGGAAGTTCATATCTCGCGGCCAAAGTGACATTTCGTTGCACTCACAATCAATCCACAAGCTTCTAACTGTGCGACAGTCAAAGAGAGTGTGTCTAACAGTTTCAGGACAATTTTCACACCAAGGGCAATCCTTAATGTCAGTCATATGGCGATACTTAAGATAAGATCTAATAGGGAGAGTACCCGTACATATGCGCTAAAGAAAATGTCGAACCTTCGGAGTTACCTCAAGCTTCCAAATTTCAGTCCAAGATTTGTGAAATTCATCGAGGTTACACGATTTACCAAGCATATAAGCTGTCTTAACTGACTAATTTCCATCCATGGAGAAGGCCCAAGTAATGATGTCTGGAATAGGACATGAGCTGAGAGGTATAGCAAATATGCTACAAGCATCATCTTCGTTAAAGTAACTCATAATGTTGTCAACCTTCCATTCTCTTGTAGCATGGTCAATAATGTCACTGACATAGCCAATCTCATCAGTTCTTGGGGAGGAGGTGAAACGGCTATCCCCATTGACCACCCATGGATCGTCCCACACCTTCACCGCACTTCCATTTCCAATTCTCCATATCTCCTTCTTTAATCAAAGATTTCGAAGACCATATGCTGCGCCAGGAATAACTTCCCCCAAAGCTCAAGCTAGCCTCCAAGAACGTCTTATTAGTAATTGCGCAAAAAACCTTGCTGAGAAGGGAATCCATTTTAGTCAAGAGTCTCCACGCTTGACGGCATAGTTAAATCTCTGAAGCTCATCCCCCCTAAATATTTGGAAGTACATAAATCATTCCATCTTTTCCAATGGACCCGTTTCCTATCCTCTCCCTGAGCCCAAAAAAACCTCGCCATCATAGCATGGATGTCATTTATTACGCCCACCGGAAGTTTGTAAACTCCCATAATGTAAGTTGGAATTGCTTGAATCACAGATTTTATGAGAATTTCCTTACCGTTCCGGGACAAAAGTTTCTCCTTCCAACCCATGAACTTCTTCCAAATTCGATCCTTAAGTGCAGAAAAAACCATCTTCTTTGACCTACCAATCACCGTCGGGATACCCAAATACTTCACATGTCTATCCACTTGCCTCATTGCAAGAATACTCAAGAGCTCCTTTTGCGTTGTGTCACTGACCCCTTTACTAAAAGAAACCTCCGGTTTGTCATAATTAATTTTCTGTCCGGAAGCTGCTTCATATATGTTGAGAATATCAACAATCTTCGAGCATTCTCTTCGGTTGGCTCTTGCAAAAAATAAACTGTCTTCAGCTAAAAGGAGATGAGAAATTTCAGGACCCCTACGGCTAGCTTTGGCCCCGTGAATCGAACCATCCGCCATAACTTTCCGCATAAGCCCTGAAAAAACATCTGCAACAAGAATAAACAAATAAGGGGATAAGAGATCCCCTTATCGAAGTCCTCGAGATGGGGTAACCGAGCCACAGACTCCACCACTAACTATGAAAGAGTATTTCACCGATGAGACACAATCCATAATCATGCTACCCAACTCTCTGCAAACCCCATCTTCAAGAGTAGATTTTCCAGAAAATTCCACTCTACTCTGTCGTAGGCTTTGCTCATATCTAGTTTCATAGAAACCATCCTCTTCCTTCCTTTGCTTCTAAACTTCATCGTATGAAATGATTCAAGCGCAATGAGGGCATTGTTAGTGATCATACGACCTGGAACGAAAGCACTCTGGTTTTCCGAGACAATACCCGGCAGAATAAATTTTAACCTCATAACCACAGCTATAGAGGCAATTTAATAAAGCACATTACAGAGAGCTATCAGTCTGAATTCAGTCATAGAGGTAGGGGAATTCACTTTCGGGATAAGAACAATGCTAGTATTATTTACAAGACCAAAAGATTCATTGCCCTGCAAAATATTACTAACAAGAATAAAAACATCATCACCAACAATATGCAAGAATTTTTGATGAAAAATTGCGTGCATACCATCGGGACCCGGGACCTTACAAGTTACAAGGGTGCATTTGCATGAGAGTTGCATGGATTTCATCCTTTATGTACGGGCGAAGGAGCTCATTATTAATATCCGGAGTAATAATACTGTCAATGGTACCAAGAACTGTATCACACGCCTCAATAAAAGGAGTGTCCGTAGAGAATAAAGTCTGGTAAAAATCTTGCACAATGTCTTCCAAGTTTGCCTCATCTTCACGCCACACCCCAAATTTGTCAAAAAGACCCACAATTTCATTCTTGTTTCTCCGTTGACTAGCTTTATGGTGAAAATACTTGGTGTTCCTGTCTCCATCTTTAATCTCGGAGGCTCGGGATCTGAGGTGCCAGTACGCTTCCTGTTTGTCAAGCAAATCACCAGATGTTTTTCCAAGTTGGCACAATTAGAGAAAGAAGCAGCCGAGATCCCCTCTTCTTGCGCACTTTTTAGTGTTGTTTCAACATCGTCAATTTGTGAGCCCAAGTCTTGTTTTTCGGCCACTCCATGCTTTCAAGGTGTTTGCATTGCCACTTCTGCTATACGATGCTCCACCCTACCCCCATACTCCTCCAAGCACTTCGTACTACCTCCTTACATTCCCCATCTATCAACCAACAAGTCTTAAATCTAAAGCCCTTTTTCTTTTTCTTCTTCTTTTTGCGGTGATTGCCAAAGTTGAGGAAAATAGGGGAATGATCAAATTTATAACGAACCAAATTCTCAACAATGGGACGCTAATCAAGATTGAGCCAATGATGGTTCGCCACAAAGCGATCTAGACATTCCCGAATGTGAATTTAAACCGTCAACCCCTTCTCCGAAGTGAACCATTGGCCTTTGAAACCCAAGTCTTCTACATTCTCACACAAATTGCAAATTAGAGTCCATGTTTTACATTTATTGCTGGTTTCGGGCCACCCATAAATCCCCACAAACCTCCAAGACAAACCAGAGACAAGTTTAACATCGCCACAAATATGATTTTGAGAGTACGAAATAAGATTAAAATCAATATCACTTTTCCAGAAAAGACACAAACCACTCGATTTTCCAATACTACTAACACCAAAAGCATTTGAAAAACCAAACCTGAATTTATTATTTTCTACAATGGATTTATTAACTTTAGGTTCTGACAAAAATAGTAAATCAGGGG